CCTTACCATCCCCTTCTTCATTTTTTCTGCTGTTTTGGACCCCTGCTGTGTCCCTGGACGCTTGTTTCGTAGCCAGTCCCCTTCCCCCTTCTTCCCTCCTCTTTCTTTCCTTCCCCTCTCTTTCTTCCTTGGGTGTCCCTGGATGCTTTTGTTATAGCTGGGAAACCTTTCTTGGTGTGTCCTCGGATGCTTGTGTCGTAGCTGAGAACACCGTCCCTTCCTCGTGCGCGGCGTGCTTACAAACTTACAAACAAACTATATAGGCATTTACAACAGGTTCTTCAATGAGGTTTGGTTGCTCATCGGTTGGTCCCCTTTCATTTGGTTCCCTTTTCATTGCCCCCCGCAGGCTTCTTTTCCTTCTTTTCTTTCATGTCCTTTCTGTCTTCGTGTCGTGTAACTATCACCCTTTTCTTCTCTTGCGTGCACATCGGTCCGACCCTTAGTGCGTATATATGCACATCTACATCCACTTTAAACTCAGGTTTCAGGTCGCCGAGGTTTGACAATGAGGTGGGGTTCATTGTTTGTCCCTGTTCACTTGGTACCTCTTCGTCATCGCAACCACTTACACTTTTGTCCTGTCTTGTCCCCCTTTCATGTCTCCATCTTTTTGTCCTTGCCGTGCGCACACATGCGCTTTTCAGTCCTTGCCTTAGTTCTTCTCGCCTTCAGTCCTTGCCTTAGTTCTTCTCGCCTCCCCTTGTGGGAGGCGTGTGTGTGTGTAACCCTTGGAGTCACAGGGATCCCTTCGGATTGGTTTTTCTGTTTTAGTTTTTGCAACTTCAGGCAGGGGCCACGGACCTGCCACTGCCGCTGTGGCCAATGAAGACCGGCAGGTGTGAAAACATACCCGCAGCAGTGGCCCTGGACGGCAAACCCCTTCAGTGGGGGCCGTAGCTGGGCACTGCAGTGACAGTTCCTGGGCGTCTGCGCAGCTGAGATGTCACTTTGAATGCATTGCAGACAGTCCATGCGCATCATCTTCCTCTTCATCTCCCTTTTCTTTTTCCTGCTCCCTTTTGGACGGGTCTCTTTTGAGCCGTGTAATTTGGTTTAACTTGGGAGTACACTTTGTCTTGAATGTGAAGTGAATGTCTTGCACACTCGTGTCAAACTTTTGGAGTTGTCTTGTTTACTAACCTACTTTTGGAGTTGTCTTGTCACGAAAGCTAGCCTTAGCTAGCTGGAGTTGCTCTTGCTTTAGCAAGTTAAGTGACGGGGTGGACGCACCCCAGAAACCTCAAATAGTTGATTAAATCAATCTTATGGACCCCCCCCCCCCGCGGTTCGACTCCCCCCTGCGCGCGGTGAGCGGGACACCAAGCAGCTGCAGCACACCAAGCATCTGCAGTCTACCACCAAGCAGCTGCAGCAAACCGCAAAGGAGCAGCAGCAGCAGAAGCAGCAGACCCAGAGCAGCAGCAGCAGCAGCAGACCACCCAGCGCCAGCAGCAGCAGCAGCAGCAGACGACCCGGCGCTAGCAGAGCACCCAGCGCAGCAGCGCCCAGCGCAGCAGCGGCCGCAGCAGCAGCAGGAGACGCAGCCAAGGCAGACCACCCAGTAGCAGGAGCTACATTGGACAGTAATACCTTTTTGGGTGCTATGTGCAGGCGGCATTTCTTGCATCATAGCCCTACCCCGCGTACGCGACTAGTTACGGCGTGGAGTCAGGCGGTGTCATTTGAGTCTTGTGCTGCTGCTGCTGGGGGGTCTGCTGCTGCTGCTGCTGGGTGGACTGCTGCTGCTGGGTGGTCTGCTGCTGCTGCTGCTGGGCAGTCTGCTGCTGGTGCTACTGGGAGGTCTGCTGGTGCTGCTGCTGCTGCGCTGGGTGGGCTGCCGCTGCTGGTGCTGGCGCCGGGTGATCTGCTGCTGCTGCTGCTGCTGCTGCTGGCGCTGGGTGGTCTGCTGCTGCTGCGGCGCTGGGTGGTCTGCTGCTGCTGCTGCTGCTGGGTGGTGCTCTGCTGCTGCTGCGGCGCTGGTTGGTATGCTGCTGCTGCTGCTGCCGCTGGGTGGTCTGCTGCTGCTGCGGCACAGCAACCGCTGGAAAAACCAAGCCAAAGAAGTGATGGAAAGGGGGCACCAAACAAAACCTGCTCCTGTCAGGTGGCAGTTGCTTACTGAATGAGACTCGACGCACCACAAAGCACATACTAACACTGCTTCTCTAGAGTTTCCCACGGGACTTGCAAGTGGACCGGCAGTTACCCAATGAGAGTGACTGTGCAGCCCGCCCCCGACTTGTTTGGACGAGGAGGCCCGGCTAGCTTTCGTTCACCCCCTCTGGCCTCAAGTTTACTCACCTACTTGCGATGGCCTCCTACCTTTTGACGGCCTCCACTTGCGCTGACCTCCAACCTACGCGCGATGTATGAAGCCTTTGGAACTGTCTTGTCTACTCGCGATGGCCTCCCACCTAGTTGCGACGGCCTCCACCTAGTTGCGGCGACCTCCAACCTAGTTGCGATGACCTCCTACATTTGTGCGATGGCCTCCTACCTTCTGACGGCCTCCAACCTACTACATGCGATGTATGAAACCTTTGGAACTGTCTTGAATGTCTACTCGCGATGGCCTCCCACCTGTTGTTGCAATTTAAATGGCCTCCACCTAGTTGCGACGACCGAGCGATGGGCTCCAACCTACTACCTGTCCTCCTGCGTTCTTAGGTTTTTCACTTATTAGGCTGGCGGGTGGCGACCGCAACCAAGTCCGTACACATTTCCATTGTGTGTGTGTCCACCGGTGGAACAACTCATTCCAAGCAGGGGGGCAGTGCATGGTCCTTTCAGCAGCCACTGCCTAACAAAGACACTGCTGATCGGATGTGATATGACCCTGACATTAAGTCTGCGCCGCGCGCGGGCGCAATCCAAGGCTTCAAGTCATAACCAACCTTTGCCGTAAGGGTCCTACACTCGCAGTGCGCTTTTGAGAATAAGACCAAACCCGAGCTCTTTTCGGGCTCACTCTGGGGGGCTGCGGCCTCAAGCTTGGTTTAAATGTAGATGTGCACGCGCGCGTCAATGCCGGACCAATCCAATGTGTGCGCAATCCTTGCTAGGCAAGGCCACGGAGGGCACTCTTCGGCTCACTCCGGTCTCTTAGTAAGGAGAGACACGCTCGGGGTATTGCGTGCTGAGCTGAAAGCCACTTGCTGCACGGCGACCTAGGTAAAAGAAGTTCCTGAATGAAGCGGGGAAGGTTGGTTGCAGGCCATCGCTCTTAGGTTGGAGGCCATCACATCTAGGTGGGAGGTCATCGCAACAGCTTGGAGGCCATCACTGGTAATTAGGTTGTCGGTTGTTTACATACAGAAGCGACAGCGGTAGATCTTTACGTCAACCTTGTGTACTTGGAAACAGCCTGAATGATGGAGAACCGTTGGAGTCAGTGTGCTCTCATGCAGGCGAATGATCAAGCGCCCTCGATCCCTTCCCATCTGTGATCATAGCTTCGTCGCACGCCGTTGCGAGCCCCCGCTGAAGAAACAGATAGCATCCCTTTGATTCCAAGGGCTTCAAGCACACTTAGATAATGGGTCTGCAGTTGCATCAGTTCCACGCGGAAAGGAATGGTTCAACAGCAAGGTGAAGCGTCCAAGCATTTGAAGATGTTTCAAAAAGGAGCTTCTCTCATCTGCGGAAGACGGCTGTGGCTCAGCTGCAAAAAATGCGACAGAAAAAGGTTTACGGGAGGTATCGTGCAAACCACCATAAAAGCAAACAAGGAAAAGTGGGGTCACAGCGTGTGGAAACAGTTCAGCAGGTACACACTGAGTCGTCTCTCAGCGCTTCCCATCTCGCTGCCCAGCTTTGTTAGACCAGGTCAGCAGCGAGAAGCCTGGCCCCCTGCAAGTTTGAAAGGGTTTAACCTCCTAGAAACGGAGGGTGACACACACAGAAGGCCGCTTTGCGGCGGTTTCGCGCAGAACCTGAATATAGGCACCTAAAAAGCCTTAGGAAAGAAAAGGAAAAACAGAAAGAGCAAAACGAAAAGGGCAAGAAGGAAAGGTAGGAGTAATGGAAAAAGTGACTACTTAGCACTTGCCTGGGGCAGGGAAACGAGCCTCAAGAACCACCTAACAAGTCTGAAAGAAAACATAGAAAACGAAGGAAGCGCAAGAGAGAAAGCGGGGGGCAGGGAGGGGTTGTATGTCCATGTGTGTACATGTGTGTGTCTGAATACTTAGCGCTCTAGAGTTACCGATTACTTAGCGGATCCTAATTAGGTGCAATAGTTAGGGAGCGGGACTTTAGTCTTAAACCGCCCGGGTAGAGTAGACTAGAACAGGGACAACAGAGGGAAAGGCGCCGACGCACAAGTGTGTCGAGTACCATTTCCCTCTCTTACCCTAATTAGATGGGTGGTAGAGGGAACCGCGAAAAACTTGAAAGGCTGTGGAACGAGTCTCCGTGAACCCGGCGATGTGAGTCTGGAAATTCATGGGTGGGACATGTGATTCCAGTACCATAATCCAACGAGTGCAGAACACGCAAATTCGATATGTGATTCACGATGGTCTCAGCGCCCCCTTGCGGGGGACCACACTGTGCACCGAAGCACACTTAGATAATGGGTTTGCAGTTACATCAGTTCCACGCGGAAAGGAATGGTTCAACGGCAAGGTGAAGCGTCCAAGCGCTTGAAGATGATTGAAAAAAGGAATTTCTGTCATCTGCGGAAGACGGCTGTGGCTCAGCTGCAAAAAACGCGGCAGGAAAAGGTTTACGGGAGGTATCGTGCAAACCACCATGAAAGCAAACAAGGAAAAGTGGGGTCAAAGCGTGTGGAAACAGTTCAGCAGGTACACACTGAGACGTCTCTCAGTGCTTCCCGTCTCGCTGCCCAGCTTTGTTAGACCAGGTCAGCAGCGAGATGCCTGGTCTCCCTTGCAAGTTTGAAAGGGTTTAACCTTGTAGAAACGGAGGGTGGCACACGCACACACACACACGCACACGCACCTGTCACAGGTCACATTTTGTATTTTCTTTCCGAGGTTGCGGCATTTCGGCAGCTTCGAATCTTGGTTGGGACGTGTTTTGCAAGTATTGGTGCGTTGGGCTGGTCAATGGTGCTGTTGCTGCTTCTAAAGTTGGGCTTTGCTCTAGCAATCTCTCAAGCTTTGCAAGGGTATATCCAAGATTTAGAGGCCAGCTATGACTCCAGGATTTTGATCTACGACTACTATGGCAGCTTCTTGAGAGCGCTGTATACTATGTTTGAAATCACGCACAGTGGCAGTTGGCCTGCCCGCGTCAGACCTGTCATTGAAAAAGTCAATGCCTGGTATGCGTTGCCCTTTCTGGGGTATATTACATTGGTTGTGTTTGCTGTAATTCGAATAGTGACGGCCTTGTTCTTGAAGGAGACGCTTGAAAGTTCCGCGAATGATGCAGACATAGCAATGGAGAGCCAATCCCACGAGGCAGCAAAACTAAACCAGAAATTAGAAGCGCTGTTCCGGGCGATGGATGAAGATGAAGGAGGAGCCCTTTCACGAGAAGAGCTTGTATCAGCAATGAGCCTCCCGAGTGTGCAACGATACATGCAAATCCTGGAAGTGCGCACGGCAGACTATGAGGATTTGTTTGATATTTTGGACGACGGAGACGGTCGCATTACGATTACTGAGTTTGTCCAGGGCTTGAAGAAAATCAAGGGCAATGCCCGAGCTATTGATATGGTTAAATTGCAGCACACAACCACGAAGCTTGCAAAAGAGTGCCAAGAAATCTGTCGAGTTCTTGCTGCAGGGCAATACCGTAGAGACAGAGAGCGACGTTTCTCCCTGACGACCGCCAAGGTCTAAGGCCCTTTACGGGCGCACTGACTGAAGAGCAATAAAATTAACAGCCACAAACCTTGATTCTGGCAGAGCCAAGTCAAGGCACGTCGCAATGGACAAACTATTCGACCGCAAAAGCGTGCGCATTTGGGCATTGGATGCAGACTTGTGACGTTTATAAACATATAAAAAAGACAGTTACGAAGTTGTCGATGGGCGAACGAAGTGAGTATTAGGGGGTGTGGGGGGGGGTGGTCACGCAGAAACCAATCTGTGAGGGCGAACGCAGAGCGGCCTGGTGGGGGAGAGCGAAAAAACGCAGGGCAGAATGGGAGTGAACATGTATGGTTTTGGGGGTGTTGTGATGCAAGTGATGTAATTCTACCATGCAGGGATGGGGCGCGAAAAGTGGTTGGCGTCTGTGGAGGTTCTTGGCCTGGGGTGAAAGGGAGGTGTGTGTCTCTCAACACCCTGTTGTCTTGTGGAAATGAGTGATCTGTGAGGGGGAGGGATTGCAAGAAATGATGTGATCCGTTAAGGGCAGGGGTGGGCCAGCTTTGAGTTGCTAAAGGATTCTGGTGAAGCGGCATAGTAGCCAGACGCAGAAGGGCGCCCCATATGGGGCGGGAGTTCATGTGGAAGACAGGGGTAGCAGAGGACGACGCGGTAGGAAAAGAGGGACTGAAAGAAGTCTTTGAGTTTCTCTTGGGGGTGCCCTATTTATGGTGAAGATGCCTGTAAACTATACGCAAAAGGGCGCTTCATATGGGTGGGAGTTCATGTGGAGGATAGGTATAGCAGGGGATGTGATAGGAAAAGAGGTGGGGAGCTCACCAGGGAAGCGAGAAGTGCGTTGCTCAGCGGCAAGGGAGATGTGCGTCTCTGGAGGGGCTAATATAAGTAGCCTTGCGCCAGGGGCGGACGTGAAAAGTGGTTGGGAAGTCCTTCTGAAAAGGGGGACGCGCGTCTTCCAACACTCTGTGTTCTTGTAGCCAATATGAGTGGAAGGGATCGCAAGAAGTGATGTGATCCGTTAAGGGCTGGAGAGGGAACAGAATGCAGTGGGCCAGCTTTGAGTTACTCGGGGGTGTCCTTTTTTTATGGTGAAGAGGCCTGTTAACCAGAAGCAAAAGGGCGCCCCATATGGGGTGGGAGTTCAGAGGAGAGGCATCGCGGGGGACCTTTAGAGGATAGGAGAGGAAAGGGGACAACGCAGCAGGAAAGTGAGATAAGGGAACGTCAGTCGTTGGGCTTTGGTGCGGATTTTAACATCGGACCACCGTCTACAAAGCAAGGATAGCGATCTGCGTGCAAGCGGCCATCAATTCCTTCACAGCCTCAAAAAACCCTTAAGTCAAAGGAAAAATCTTCTGCTTTTTATTGCCCCGTAACAAAGCCGCTCTTTGCCCGATGTGAGACGCTCACTTGATCTTGGCTGCAACACCGGACTTAAGTCCTATATCTTCTGCTCTCTATATTTCCAGCAGCTGTAAACAAACATCACCGCCATGTCGACTTCCCCCCATAAAAGCACGATCCAGTCTTAACAGCGCACCAGGTTTATGAGTCTATCCACAAAACACGAAAAACAAACCGCAGACAAACAATAATGACTTCGGGGTGCCCGGGTGCCCGTTCTTTCTCTTCCAAACGCCCCTTCATCCACAAGAAAAGGGCCCACCTTATGCCTCCCAACGCTTCCCCTGCGCTCTCGCGTTCACCCCCGTTGACCATATTCATATCTGCTTGTGGAGGCTGGCTTTCATCCTCCCCCTTCTCAGGTTATATATATATATGTATAATAGATGCGTTTTGAATGTAGGGACATTGTCCCGCCTTATCACTCCCTGTCCTAGGTGCGAAGCAAGCGCAGTGACTTATGGCAAGTGTTGCTTTGCTGGAGCGATGGTCTCAATCAAAGAGCCTTGCGCACAAGTTGACACCAGTTGAGAGTCTAACAGTTGTTCCCACGCTAGGTCTTGCTTCGAGACTATTGGTGCAAGCTGCAAGCCACCCCGAAAACCAAGTGTGAAACATCATCCCTGGTGTGACGAACGACGTAGGGTGCTGAGCCTCCTGAGAGTGCGTGGGTGAAATGGCGGAAAAGGTGAAAGCCACAGCCATTACCGACTGGCACCATAGGGTTCTTGACACCTCAAGAGCGTGGCTGTCCTAAGTGTTGGCCTCGCTGAGGCCTCAGGTTTTGCAACACTGGGAGCCATGATGGTTTGAATTTGAATGTGAGGCGGACACATACAAGTATTGCAGATGAGGGGACCAGAAGGAGACGCAGTATTGAAATATTAAATGTTGCGCGGGCGAAGACCTTGCGAGCATACATCCTGCATCCACAACAAGACACAGCAAGAATTTCTTCAGATGGGTAGCTCAATCTCAAAGACCTATCTAACATGCCTATAATATGCCTCCTATGCCGTGATTTTGAGCCGACGGATTGTACCCATTTACAGCCTGCCTTAAGCATCTCACCAAAACCAATGTGTTTCAAATCATTTCGGCCATGGAGTTACTTGCAGTTCATCAAATGTAGAATCCAAGCAAGGAGCTTCCTCATCTTCTACCAAATGACGGAGAAGATAAAACCTAGGCTCGCCAGCTCGCTGGTCACTTCAACAGCCAATTCAGAAGCACGTGTTCATGTTCATTCATGTTCATTTGTGATTCATTTGTGATAATTTGACACTGGTGTGGGTTCGCCATTTGTTGAGATCTTGGTTGCTTATGCAGCTGTGAGGTGCGTTCTGCTGATGAGTTCAGGCGGGAGAAGCGTTTGCATTCGTTTGCTGGCCCTTTTTATTTTGATTGATAGAGTATCATGTAAGATGGCTTCGTGAACGCCTGTACACAGACAGGCAGGACGGCATATCTAGCAATAGCGCAAGAGTGACGCCTATTGTTATTGCACCGTTGTGACAGTATTTGCGTATTTGGTCCTTCTTTCCGACCATTTCTTAATTTTCCTCAAGCAGTTTGCTGTTGGGGTTCCTTCTTTCTGACCTTGTCGTCCTGTTGTCCTCTTTTTTGTTTTTGTCGGCCCATTGTCCTCCTCTTGTCTTCCTCTTGACCTCTTCTTGTCCTCCACGTGTAGCCTCCTGTTGTCCTCTTTTTCACCAAACAGTTTACTCTTAGAAAAAGAGAGCTGGCCACACTGACTGGCCGCACCCCTGGACTCTGTGGCCGGGCTCTGTGGCCGCGCTCTGTGGCGGGCTCTGTGGACCGGCTCTGTGTCCGGGTATTGTCCTCTTCTTGTCCTGCTCCTCTTGTCCTTTTTTTTTCCTCCTCTTGTTCCCAAAGCAGCTTACTGTTGGGGTTCTATCTTAAAAACACCTGGCCACACTCCCCTGAACTCTGTGGCCGGGCTCTGTGACCGGGTCTTGTCCTCCTCTTGTCTTCTCTTGTCTTCCCTTGTGGCCGAACAATTAGCAATGTCGATGCCGACAAAAATCATTGATTAAGCAATTTGCTCTCGGGGGGAAGGTAGGGCGTACCAAAATCGTTTTTGACAAATATTGGTCCCATCGAATCGTTTTGAAACTGTTTGGGGCCTATGCTGCCTATGCTGGTATATTTCTCTCTTTTCCTCTTCTTGTCTTCTTCTTGTCGTCCGGTTGTCCTCCTCTTGTCCTCTTGTTGAACAGCTTGGCCGCCGCTCCCAGCCGTCCTCTTGTCCTTTGTCCTCTTCTCGCCCTCCTGTTGTCCCCTTGTTGCTCTTCTGCTGCTGCTGGCAGCATGGCAGCATGCAGGCATGACACCATGACAGCGCGCGCGCAATGCACTCTCCCCAAGCGCAATCAAAGGGTCCAACGCGAGAAAGCAACTGTGCACGCGCAAGCCTTGTATGGACTTAGTGGGAAAGCGCCAGCCGGCAAGCGCGAAGACCGCAGCATGGCCACATGGCAGCCTGTCAGCGTGCAAGCGTTACAACTTGTGAGCGTGCACTACAAAGCAGTGAGACACTAGCAAGATAACTCTCGTAGGAAAAACCTGGCCACACTGTTAGGTCGCGCCGGCGAGCCCTGTCCGGATGTCCTCCTGGCCTCATGTTCTTCCTTCCTCAGGTGCTCACCTATCTCCGTCGTGTTGTGTTTCTCTTGTCCTCTCTTCCTCTTCTCCTCTTGGTGTGCTCCCCTCATGTTATCCTGTTGCCCTTTTGGTGTTGTGCGGTCACGGCTTATCCTTCTGTTGTCTTCTTGGTGTGTTCATGTTGTTTTCCTTCCCTCATCCTTTTGTACCCTGTTGCCCTCCTCATGTCCTCCTTTGGCCTTTCTGTTGTCCTGCTGCTGCTGTGCTGTTTGTGTTGCTTTCCGAGGCAGGGGCTGGGGCTGCGGCCGCCCACCACCACCATAATAACAACAATCCTTGCCGACTAAACTGTTTGGGGTCCATGCTGGTAGTCATGCTGGTATGTTTTGTTTCCCTTGGATCAGCCCCTCAGCTCCTGCATGGAACTTGTCTATTTATGTTGGATGTTTTCGGGTGATTGCTGCTGCGATAGCTTGGCTTGATCAAGAGATGCCTCTAGCCGTATGCAAGCCATGCCGCGCCCACAGAAGCTCACTGAAGAACAGGAATGGTTCTTGTCACTTCTGGACCTCAAGTTTCAGCAGCATGAGCATAGGATTTGGCGCATGATGTCAGAAACCAATCATTGGAATGGAGCAGGTTTTGAGACCGTGGAGCATGAGGAATCAAACTTAGGCAGGGTCTTGGACGAGTTGGAACTGATCAACGCAGATCCGATCCAGAATGATGAGAAAGAGCAAGAAACTGCGGAGGAGCCACCGGAAAATTCAAAAGACACAAGAAACTTACGACCCGCCAGGTTGGGTAGTGTCTATGTGATGAGTGAGGTCAGCGAGCCTGAACCACATCTTAAAACATTTGTGAAAGGGCCCTTGGATCTCTTGATGGGGCTGGTGGTGGTTGCGAACCTGTCTGTCATGGCAGCAGTCACGCAGACTGATGGCTACGTTGCAGATATCCACCTAGGGCTTGCCACTGGGTCTCCATGGGGCCTGACCAATGCAGAGTATGAGGTTGCCGAACTTGTATTTTTCTTTATTTACATCTCTGATGTTCTGGCCAGAATCTGCATTTTGCGGAGCCAGTGGTACTATGATTTGAGAGAGGGATGGATGTACATGAATTTCTTTGATGCCTTGCTGGTGACTGTTCAAGCCTTTGAAATTGCTTTGCTCCCTGTGTCCGAGTCTTAGATTGACCGCTTGACCAGGGCAAGGATGAGAATTTCCAGCTTGAAATCGAGAGAATGCCAATAAACAATAATACTGTAGATCAGAATATTATGAAAATAGTAGGGTGTACACTACATATACTAATACAGTATATACAACTGTTTGAGTTCAACTTGTCAAGATCTCTCAAAGCAGGATTCTCATGTATCTTCTGCCGAGGCTGACTTCTGGTGACCAAGAGCAGAGGGCCAGTACCATTCGCGTTATCAAGCTGCTGAGGATTGTTCGAACTCTTCGTATCATCAAAACCGCGGCTGGGCGTATTTTTCGGAGGACTGACAGATGTAACGTAACGTAGATCAAAGAACATGTTGGGGTGGCTGTGACTCATTTGCATCAACGTCTAGGTCTTAACAGCGGCATGACACATTTGGAAACACCAAATTCACTATGAACATACATGATTTACCAACTTGAGCCATGCCCTCGCCCTAAGGTAGCATTGTTCCGCCAACTACGGCTGCTGGTTTCTACCTGTGTGGCCAGCATTGGTGCCTTTTTTTGGTCCATGGTCCTTCTCTTCATGTGCAAGGTTGGGTTTGCGCTGATTGTTTGCCAAGCACTTCAGGGCTTCATCATGGATGACAATGCTAATTTGGATACTCGCTTGGAGATGAACAACCTATATGGTAGCTTCACCAAATCGTTGTACACAACCTTTGAGATCACCCACAGTGGAAGCTGGCCTTCCCATGTGAGACCAGTGATTGAGAAAGTGAGTGCTTGGTATGCGATCCCCTTTCTCACATACATCACTTTGGTGGTGTTCGCAGTAATCAGGATAGTGACGGCGCTCTTTATCAAGGAGACCCTTGCAAGTGCCGCCAACGATGCTGACATGCAGATGGACGAGAATAGGGCCATGGCAACCGAGTACCAACGAAAGCTCGAAGAGCTGTTTCGTGCTGCTGATACAGATGGAAATGACTCCTTGTGTTCCAGTGAATTTCTACAAGCAATGAGCTTGCCTAGCGTGCAGCATTATCTTCAGGTGCTTGAGGTGAAAGTTTCGGATTGCCGCCCACTTTTTGACATCCTGGATGATGGAGATGGAAGGATCACTATCACGGAGTTTTGCAAGGGAATCATGGGACTGAAGGGAGTGGCACGAGCCCTGGACATTGTCATGCTCCAAAGGGAGAACAGCAAAGTCCTCAAAGAGTGCCAGAAGATCTACCAGAGGGTTGTCATGCTGACTGCTTCCAGTCCTCCAACCTGATCCTGCTTGATCCTTTATTTCAGCGGACTCTTGAAAAGAACGCCGCTCTGCAAAGATCGTGTTTCACCGCGGCCATTTGGGCCAATTTGTGTCTACTTTCCCTGGGCCGTGGTCCGCCACGGAGGCTCACAGCACAGGGTGCAGATGCAAAAGTTGCCGAGCCGGTGCAGTAGTTTCATTCTCGGTTGTGCTGCTTGCTTTGCAAGATGCAACATGCTTTCATTGTCTTGAATGCTGTGGATGGTCTGGGGCCGGAGATCATGTGATTGTTGATGTAGCAGCATCATCCTCATGTCTGTTGGGGATTTCCCCGTGGAGCATCTGTCTGAACATCTAATGTTTTTACTACTGAAATGCTGCTTGGACAGTGTTTGACAAGAGTGTCCCACAAGAGTTTGCTCCAATGACGAGTCCTACAACGCAAGAATGTACCATAAGAGTGTCCTACAAGAGTGCCACAAGAGTGACCGGCAAGAGTGTCCGACAAAGGTGTCCTACAAGAGGTTCTCACAAGATTGTCCTACAAGAGTGTCCCACAAGGATGTCCTACAAGGGTGCTCCACAAGAGTGTCCAAGAAAGAGTGTCCGACAAGAGCGTTTGTCTCATAAGAAAACCCTACAAGAGCGTCCCACAAGAGAGCCCCCGCAAGAAGGTCGTCCTGGAAGAGTGTCCGGCAAGAGTGCCCAACAAGAGTGTAACAAGATTTCCTGCTACTTTGCTACTTTAACCACTTGTTTTGGCCCAAGATATTTGCGGCGTGTTCTTGCCTTATCACCAAGTGAAGGGAATGCCTCGTCCTTGCCAAGAGCGAGCGGAGTTGACTGCACAACAAGAATGGTTCCTCACATTGCTTGACAGAAAGTTTGCAGAACAGGAGGCTGTTATCCGAGAGTTAATCAGCAGCGAAGGCAAAGAGACCTTCAATGCTGAAACCTTCTTGGAGAGCAATCGGCTACCTGACCCTTCGTTGAAGACGGAAAAGGCGATGGAGATCACTGAGCCGAACGAGACAAAGCCACGCTCAACCACCAGGCCAAGGGGGACCCTCGCAAAGGTGATTGGGCAGGAAGTGATTGATCCTCCGTTGAAGGCGTGGGTGAAAGGTTCCCTGGATGGCTACATGGGCATGGTCGTGGTTGTCAATTTGTCCCTCATGGTGGTCGTAGCACAGTTTGTTGGTGCTAGAGCAGACTATGGGCTAAATCTTGCCTCCGAAGAACCAGGCATGCTCCTGGAAGACATTTTCTACGTCCTGGACTATGTTTTTTTTGGCATTTATGTCTTGGATGTCTTGTTGCGCATTGTGGTCTTGCGGAAAGAGTGGTTCCTTGATCACGTTGATGGGATCATGTACATGAACCTGTTTGATGCATTCTTGGTGGTTGTCCATGCTTTGGAGCTTTTGCTGCTTCCGCCTGGTACTCAGTTGTGGCATCTTTAAGGACGTGCTCATTATCTTGCATGTTTCCTATTTTGTGCATTCGCTAGAAAGAAGTCATTATGGCTGGGACCAAGGATACTATTGGGTGCTAATCAAGAGCAAAGTACAAGTAGCATTCGTGTCATCAAGCTTGTGCGAATTGTTCGTACACTTCGGATTGTCAAGACTGCAGCTTGGACTTAAAGTGCAATTTTCAGGTGATGTTTCGTCAATTTTGGGGGCCTTTGAGCCTAAGACTATTCTTCTGAACTGCTGTGTTTTCTAGGTTTGCATCACGCTGACTGTGAGTGCCAGTTTCCAGTTGCTAGTGGTAGGACTACTACTCCTAGAGTTGTCATTGGCAGGGAAATTGTAGCACGCTGGACTCCCACAATTATACATATAATATATATACATAATTCCAATGTTTTACTATAATAGATATCACCAGTGAAGTAAACAAAATGCAAAACGATCTCAACGGTCAAATTCTAGATCTCAACAGTCCAAAAGCAATAAAGAAAGGATGTAAGAGAGAACCCTTAATGACTCATAACGTTTTAACACCACTCAGGTTTGAGGGGACTCTGTCCTCCAAAGCTGCTGTAATTTTGGCACACCAGACCAGGTATCTTTGTTTCGGCAGCTTCGCCTTTTGGTTGGGACATGTGTGGCAAGCATCGGCGCACTGTTTTGGTCCATGGTCCTTCTCTTCATGTGCAAGGTTGGGTTTGCGCTGATTGTTTGCCAAGCACTTCAGGGCTTCATCATGGACGACAATGCTAATTTGGATACTCGTTTGGAGATGAACAACCTATATGGCAGCTTCACCAAATCAATGTACACAACCTTTGAGATCACCCACAGTGGAAGCTGGCCTGCCCGTGTGAGACCAGTGATAGAGAAGGTGAGTGTTTGGTATGCAATCCCCTTTCTGACGTACATCACTTTGGTGGTGTTCGCAGCAATCAGAATAGTCACGGCCTTGTTTATTCAAGAGACTCTAGCAAATGCTGCCAACGATGCTGACATCCAGTTGGAGAACAGCCGACGTTTGGCACAGGAGTATCAGGACAAATTGGAGGCGTGGGTGTGGTGTTTGTGTCGCTTTGGTGTGCCAGGCGTATTGGATCCCATATTTGCATAGCGGCATAGCGCAGGGTTCCCGTTTAACTCTGGGGGTTTGTTGTAAAGCTGTGTTTGTGTGATGTTGCTGAGGTGTTTGCACCTGTCCTCAACCGTTGTCAACTGTTCGCAGGCGACCACAAGAAGTGATGCAAAAGATATGAGCCGATTGATCAAACTGACACCCAACCACCGCTCTGTGCTAGTGCTAATGTTGCTGCTCCCGCTGCTGCCGTGCTGTTGGACAATTTCAGGTCATGCTCGACCCTTTTCGATCCCTCTGGAAGCAGTCGAGTAGTTTCCATGTACCTGTTCGCCTCGTCAATCCACCGTGCGCATCGGCTGGGCTGTCGGTTTGGCTGTTCTTGGCTCCACGATTCTTGCCTTAGTATGGTTGGTTTGAAAGGGATCGAATGAACCTTCCTGAAGGATTTTAAGTTCAAGACCCAGACCCGGAAGCAATACCCTTTGACCACGGAGAGTCCCCTTCAGCCGGCTCAAGTTGTTTGGACTGGTTACTGCTGGATTGGCTGTCGACGGGTACACAGACCTAGAGGTCGGTATCGTTGAAAGGGAAATTGAAACAATTTACTGTTACTTGACCCGCGAAATCCTGCGTGTGTTTCTGCAAAGGCTGGTTTGGCACGAAAGCGGGGTCTTTTTCTGACCAGGTGGTTGCATGGGCTGCTTCCCATGCTCCCTGTCACTGTGATTGCATTTTTGGAACCCTTTGCTTGGAACTCGGATTGGTGAAGCTACAAATCCTTGCCCTGGTGGGCACAGGAGAACTGACCATGCTGCTTGCCTCAAGCCTAAGCCTTACCAGTTTGGAACCTCACGGAGCATACGGAGCGAGCTCCAGGAGCCGTCTCAAAAAGAGCAAGGGTGGTATCTTGAAGAAGCGGGTAAGACCGTAAGACCTATGGTCATCTATGGTCAATGGCGGCTCAGTCAGTCGTTGCTTTAAATGTTGCAAGTGGCCATCACTGATCAGAAATCAGACGAGCAGGTTGCAGACCGATTGACGGCAACTGCCAAATTCTCCGGCACTTCTCTCCAAATGACTCCAGTAAGGTCAGACATGTCCATGGCGAAGGAGATGCCTCTCCAGCACAGAGAGTGATTTCTCTGGGGGCTGTGTGCCGAGACTGAGAAGGGTGAAGCCAAAGGGTTGCACCCAGCCACCCTGTTCGTATAAAATACGTGGCCATTTCCACGGATGGTCTCACAGTTGCCATCACTGTTGGGCCCTGGGCGTTGAGCAGACATCGATGTTGCCCTACAAACATAAGGTCGGTCCTACTACACCACTGCCCAAGGTGTTCAGATGCTTATAGTGAGTAGCAGTAGCCCTCCAAAGGTCAGGCTTCAACTGCTGACTCCTCCCATTGGAAGTTTGTGGTTGGGGGGGTGAAAAGTTGGATGACTGACCCCTCTTTGGTCACTGCTCAGCGGGCCATTTGTTGCCCGTTTTACGTAGTTTCACTGGTCGCTCAGTTCAGAACCTCGGAGGCCCTTGCTTCTCTTTGTGTGCTCAGCGGGGTTCGCGGTCATTTTGCAGCCTTTTTGACATGCGCTCACGCCACCGTTGTGGATTGCTCGGCCTTTCAGGATATGACTCACAGGACAGAAGTTAATTAATTTAATGATAATTAATGCTATTATGTTTCGAACGCTGAGCAAGATGCTAGCAAACATCATTTTGGCCTGGCCCTTCAACGAGGCGGACGCAGTGATGTCGGGGCTTGCTAGGATCCACCCTAAACAAAATGCGCGGTCCGGGTTGGCAGGATGTTTCACTCAAAAGTTGCTTTCGACGACGCGGCCAATCAGGGTGACGCTGATGAACTTTTGGCGCTGCAACACTCCTTTGATTTGGCGATGGACGGTCTGGTTTGGGTTTTAGATCCGTTGCGCGCAACCTCGCCTGTTTGTAAAGAAAAGATTCGCGCTTTGGAGGTTGGCCGTTTGCTCAAAAACCGTTCGGAATATTAGCCCTTTTTAGCACCAGACCACGCGACCACAGATGATCTACGTCATGTTTGCGGCCAGACGACAGTTTTGGATTGATGCTTGAGACTGTTGCTGTGATGTTCGGGTTCCTGCCAAGGGGCTCAATGAACCCCCACGCCATATTGCGCCTACAGGCAAGAGAGGGTTTTGTCAGTTGAAGCATTGAGATGTTGATGCCGTTCCGGTCCTATTCGGTCTTTGTCTCTCCCTCCTAGCGCCTCGAGTAAAAACTTATCTTGCCGGTTCCTTCTTTGAACTGCAGTCTTGTCCTTACTCCTGGTGGGTCACTTCGGTCGGGTGTAGTTAGTTGTACTGCTGTGCAAGGGCGATCCCACGTGGTCACTGGTCTTGTTTTTTTTGATCCCTGCTCATACTCCTCATGGGTCGTGCGCTGCCTTTGCCCCTTCTCGTGTTGACAGTCCGAGCTTGTCTTCCCGTACTGATTTTTTGTTGCTTGTCCGTCCGGTCCCTTGAAGATGTGGCTCACTGGCAAGCAGACAAGTTTTGAGGACGACAAGCTTCTCTATCATTCCCCCGACAGTTTGGACAGTTTCAGTTTGGTGGAGGGTGTTGCTCAGCATCCAAACAAATGTTGCAATGATGCTCCTGGTTTCTTCAGCTGAAAATGCTCAAGACTGGGCTGCGTTTGTTCAAGACCCTTTGTTTGAATTTTTAATGCCACCCTTCCGCACGCCGCGAATCCCACCGCGCCACCAGCCCACTTGCGCGCCACAGTGCCATTCGTTTTCGCGTCGGGCCCCTACACCCCCCGCAAAAAACGTTCAAAGACAGATATTTTTTGTTCAAATGTTCTGCCTTGGGGTCTGATCATAAGTGCACCCCTGCCTATAATGGAGGACGCTTTCTGGCTTGAACACCAGGCAGCACATTTTCAGTAGATAGATAGATAGATAGATAATGATAGATAGAAGATAAGATAAGATAAGATAAATATAAGATAAGATAGATAGAATAGAGAGAATAGACAGAATAGATAGAATAGAATAGAATATAATGGATTAGCATAGAATAGAATAGAAAGATGGATAGATAGACAGACAGACAGACAGATAGATAGTCATAGATAGTCAGATTAGATAGATAAGATTGATTAGATAGACTAGATATACAAAGAGACAAAGAAACTGAAGCCATGGAAAGAACCACATCGGGTCGAACATGGACACCGGGAAACCAACCCAAGCTGCTGATGAAGCCAACAAGATGGAAGCCGAGAAACAAGACGCTCCAAAAAGGCACCTCACACCAGTAAAAACTCCAGATCACCTGCCAAAGAAACTCCACTACACTTTGCAAAGCAGAGGCAAAATGTCCTTCAAAAAAGAGGAAATCGACAAGGCGATCATCAAATCATCAAAAGTGCATCCTCTACACCATGAAAGCCAGAATTGCTTAGGTGAAGTACAAAAAGGTCACACGCCTAGAAGATGATTACGCACACAGAGAGAGAATCGTAGAATGGTGCCCCAAAGAAAGTGGTATCAGCAAACGAGTCTACCCAGCAGACTGCGAGTACAACCACCAAACCAGGGCAGACACCATCTCACCACAAACTCACGTCAAATTGGCCCAGCCTTGGGTTCGAAAGAAGCTCCTCGGTTGGCAGAAGGAAAAGTACCCACAAGGCATCCCCGAATGGTGGACAGCAGATGAAGACACATCGTTGGGAGAAAAATCGGAGTACAACCTTGAGAACAACGGCAAGATCATGTTCAAGCCCCAGGTTCCGTTGTGGGACTTCCAATGAGAACAGCAATGATGGTACTCAAAGAGACGTTCTCCTAAAAAGAATTTTCACCAACGTGGGCCGAAAACAGCATCAAGATCTGGATAACATTCAATCTCACCCAGGGAGTCGCAAAACTTCGCATCGACCACTCCATTCCCTTCGAGATGTTTGTGACCGCCTTCCAGGTCAAGTTTCTCAACGGTCCCGCCGCCGGAAAAGGAAGAGGGAAGAGAGACAGGAAAGGTCGCGGAAAAGGAAAGGAGTCACAGGAGCCTGCAGCAGAGGAAGGCCGATCAGACTACCCTTTCTCCTTTCAGTTCCACCAGGTGACCGACTGGGCGAGGGAGTATGAGAAATAGAAGAGGGAAGCTCGCAGTGAGGCGATAGACTAGGGCAAGTCAGGGGTCTCGGGGGAAAGGTGATGTTCAAAACAAAACCTCACCAATCACAAGTCTCAAAGCCCAGGCGCAAAGACAAACAATTATCAACTGGAGACTCATATGTCACAGCGGCACAACAAGCCAAAACCAATGAGGCACAAAGTGCTATCAATGCTGATGCCTGTACAGATTTTACAGAGTATATATAATTACCACGAAACCTCCGCTCCGTCCAAGCGAATACAGCTAAGAGCCAAAGACCGGCACTTTGTGCCAGCCCGGCAGTCTCTGCCTTTACACAGTAATTACCAAGAAGTCGCTAGAAAAACACAGCTATAAAAGGAAAACCCGCTTCAGACACATCACTCCAAACACATCTACCCTAGAGAGCATTTGGGAATGCCGGAAAGCCACGCCGCAAGCGGAAGTGGCAACCAAAGGTCGCCCGAACCAAGTCTTACCGGAATATGAACACAGGTAGATCTGCCAACTCTAAAGAATCTAGTAACGCACAAAAAGCAAACAGCCAACAAGTTGACAAACCGAAAAGAACACAAAGGAAATCTGAAACTGACAGATTCATACGTACATGTAATAGAGCGCAAAAACGCGCTGAGACCAGACGTTTGTATAGAATGGTTAGGAAGTGCTGGACTGGGAATATATTCTGATTAAAAAGCAGTGGCGAAACGCTATACGCAACATTGATACAACACCGCGCGCAAGTATTGAATCCGATCACAAGCTGATAACGGGAGGGAACGATCCAAATTTAACTAGCAACGAAAAGTGCGCATAGACCCCCGCAAATCACAAAATATCGGACCCCCACTTCCGTGCAAAGAGCTCAATACAATGCATACGTTTATATACTTAAAGCTTATATAATTCGGAACGCGTCACCAATGGACAGGAACCTCTCTCTCTCTACTGGCTCAAGTTTTGAAAGAATCGGCGAAGAAAAACCTGACCCAGATACCCGTGCCCAAAAGAAAACCGTTTCTCTCAGCCGAAACCTGGAACCTATTGGAATCACGTCAAAGAGCAGAAGAGTCTGGTGACGGAATCTTGGCAAAGTGACCTGTCCAGTAAGATCAAAACGGCCATTTGAAAAGACAAAGCTGCCCACCAATTACAGCAACAAGACGAAACCGAAGGACATACATATAAATGGAAAGAATTAAAAAGAATGTAATGAGGGCACGACCGACTCTGAAATTCACTAAGCTTAAAGACAATCAGGGCAGACGAATTACCAGCACACAATACTCCCAGAAGGCCGCTGCATATCAAGCGAATGAACCATGGAAGATCGACGATATAAACCTTCCCCCCTCAAAAAGTAAACCCCTCGTGTCTCTGGCAAGGACGGTTCCCCATCAACGGTGGCTGGCCACTTCACGCTGCAAGAACTGGACAAAGTACTCGAAAAACAAGCAATAACAAATCGCCCGGTACAGATCTACTACGTGCTGAATTGGCCAAATACCTAGACTCCACAGACAGATCGTATCTCCTTCACTGTATCAACGAGATATTAGACAAGGGTACACTCGAACCATCACTACCCAGGGGACTCGAGCCAACTTGAAAACTACAGGCCAATGTCCCTTCTTCAAACTTTCTATAAGATCATTGCAGCTATAAGATCACTGCGGCCCTCATCAAGAACCGCCTCTCCAAAGGGCTTGAGACATGAATCGTGGATACGCAATATGGCTTCAGAGCAGGCAGGAGCACAAGTCACGCAATCTTCCTCGCAAGGAGGTTGCAAAGCATGGCCGAAATTAGTGGGAAGAATCTAGCGACCCTGGGAGAAAGCTTTTGATAAAGTCCACCAAACACGGCTACTTGAATCATTCGGTAGGGTAGAAGTTCCCTCAAATTATTGGCATTGATTGGCAACATTTATGAAAGTCACCAATTCCAAGTTTCCTGCAATGAAGGAGAGTCAAGGTGGCTGTGGCTTACGCAAAACTCTGTGTCAGGCATAAGACAGGGACTCATGTCCACGATGTTCCCAGACATAAAGGCAAGGCTGTCCACGCCCAAACAGAAAGAACCCCTTGATGGAATAACCTTTGCAGAAATACTCTATGCTGACGACACTCTGATTTTTGGCGACCACACGCCTTGATTAAATAAACTGCTCAAAATAGAAGTGGAATCCTCTTACTACAACATGAAACTCAACTACGGAACATGTATTAACATGACAACGGACAGAAAGACGTCAACAATAAAATATCTAGATGGAACTCAGGTCCCACGAGACAGTCGTGCAGTATACCTAGGGTCATTATTGACAAACCAACTGAGACAATCTGAACTAAGCAAACTAGATGCTTGTCAGATGAAGGGCGGGGCTGGGACGAATTCTTAAAATAACATCCACTTTCATAGATAGAGTACAAACCAACCAAGTCGTACTGCAAAAAGCAAATACGCATGGAGTGTATATTCCAAAACTATCATATTTTTGTAGGCAGAGGAAGATGAGTCTATTAGGCCACATTCGCCGAGCAGATGCAAACGATCCTCTCAGACAGGTGACTATTGAAAACCAAACTTGCGTCCCACGAAAAACAACATATCGAAGGCAAGGGAGGCCGAGAGCGGACTGGCCAACTGAAACGGTGAAAGACATTTTCCATTCTCTCGGACACAACCCGCCCCAAGAGCCAGGCCTCCAAGGCATACGAATGCGAAAACAATAAAACCAACCAATCTCTGAAAAGAAGGGCGCTGCCCCATCAGCCTGTGGGCTTACGCAGTAATTACATAGCAAAGGACAAATGCCTTTCCCCGAGCCGCGTGTTACCTCCTGCTATGTCAATTTTTGATCCGAACAACTGAACACGTGTTGTGCCGCTCTCCGGCAAACTTCTTGCTTGGCGCTAGAACAAATAGATAGATAGATAGAATGATTGATTGATAGATTGGATCGGTTACTGTAGATTAGATTGGTTGATAGGTTAGAGAGATATGGTTGTTTGTTCCGTTTGTCCTTGCGGTCCTTGCAAGTGTGATTCACCGTTGTTTGCAGGAGCTGTTTCAAGTTGCTGACAACGACGGAAGCGGCAGCCTCACCCAAGAGGAATTTGTTGAAGCGCTGAGCCTTCCGAGCATTCAACGGTATTTGACCTCCTTGGACGTTCGAATTCAGGACTCTACGGCAGCAATTGCATGTTGCTTGGTTTGTGTAGGTATTCATGCAAGTGGTAGTGCATTCTTAACAAGTAAGTATATAAACATTGTATAACATGCTTGTCTGACTTGGAAGGTTCTAGTCTGCCTTTCCCGTAGGTGTGACGGCTCGGCGCGTGTAGTTTTTCGTTTTGGAATAGCCTACATGGGAACGCCCCGCCCCCCACGCCGTTTGCGGCAACTGCAGGGTTGGCAAAACGGGTCCAGGGTTGCGGTCGGGTTTCATTCGTGCCGATACCTGATGGATGGCTAATTACGCATTGAAGGTTGCCTGGTTGCCTGAGTCATGGTGTGCCGTGCGTGGCCGCTCTGCAAAGCGGCTTGACCACTTAATTCGTGTTAGTTCTATAGTTATATATAGGGTTTCCTCCATGCCAAGGCTTTTGTTGCAGTTTCGTGCCAGCGACGGCGACGAGAAGGTCCACAAGGAAAAGAGGTTTTCGAGGTCAGGCTGACCGAAACGGTTTAAGCTGTCTAACCAAGAAAACAGCCGATTGGACCCTTGGGACCTTTGCCTCCGGTCAACGTTTTGGGTGCGCATGAATGTTCTTTCTTGTTAAGTGCTCTCTCTTCAATGGTTGCTAATTGAATATGCCGCAATATGCCTCTCTTGCTCGTTAATTAATGTGCGTTTTGCTTTGCCGTGCGTGCGGATATAGCATGCTTTCTGTGCTTCTTTACCCTCCTGTACCCCCCGTAGGGGAAAGGCTGTGAGGAGCGCAGCGGATTGGAACAATTTCCGCCGTCCCCAGCCGGCTGCCACCGAACACCGGCTCCGCCGCCTGGGCCGATTGTACGCCCTGGCGTCGCCCTGGTGCTCGGGTCGCCGCCGCTGTGCCGCTGTGATTTGTGTGGCAGGGGCAGCACTTGGTGCTCTCCAGGCGTCGTCCTGGTGCTCATGGGTCGCCGCCGCTGTGCCGCTGTGATTTGTGTGGCAGGGGCAGCACTTGGTGCTCTCCAGGCGTCGCCCTGGTGCTCGTGGGTCGCCGCCGCTGTGCCGCTGTGATTTGCGTGGCAGGCGCAGCGCTTGGTGACTGTGAGCATCTGAGACACTGAATAACTCTGATCTTAGCCTAGGACACCGCAAGCTGCCGACTTTCAGCTACAGCGCATTTGTGTCCTCTACATACATACGTGATCCATCACCAGCGCACTCCACCACCATTTGTCTATCCCCCACGGACCTGGCCGTGCAATGAAGTGAACACAGGTTCAGTGAAAAATTTTGCATGCTTGTGTTTAGTTCCGATTTGTTATGTTTTGACCGACCGCTAGACAACGCACTCGGACCCGAAACGAAAATGAACAACCAAAAATTCGGAGCCGCGCTTGGGAGAGTGCTTTGCAGGACTGCCGGCCATTGTTTGATATTTTGGATGACGGTGATGGGCATATCACGATCGCTGAGTTCTGCAAGGGGCTCATGCAGCTGAAGGGTCAAGCACGAGCTTTGGACATCCACATGCTTCATCGGGAAAACTCGAAGGTCCTGAAGGAATGTCAGGACATCCAGCGTCAAATGCGCTTGGTATGCAGGGCTGTCATGTCTGCCTAGGGCATCTTGAGGCATGCAATCCAAGCTTGCCAAGCATCGGTGCAGTCATGTTGGCAAAGCCACATTGACCTGATGGATTTTTGCGTCGCTGATGCCAAAAGGAACTATACAGCCGTGCCGGTGAGTTTTCACAAGTGTTTTTAACCATGCCAATGCTTGCAGCTTTCATTTGCGCAAGAAGACGGCCGCATATAATTTATAAATGATGTGTTTCTTCCAGTTGATGCTGGTTCAGGTCAAGGGGTTGGACATCTTGTGAGAAGCTGCTCGAAACAGGTTCTGATTCTTTCCCGTGTAGCCCATCGAATCGTGTTTGAGTCACCGTGGACGCGTTTGGAGCTTGGAAAAGGAATCCTGGTCCACTTTGCATTGGCATAATTTGCGTGCCGTTCCCATCGGTGTGGATATCTCTACAGCACATGGCCCATCATCAGCCCAGCAAACTGATGTTGCCATCATAGGCCCTTTCCAAAATGACCGGTGGGAGCAAAACGTATCATTCCAACACGAATGACATTGCACATGTTTGCACTGTTCTCCTATGCAGTGGTATGCATTTGCAATTTTGCGGACCGTTTGGCCGTATCCAGCTGTGGTAACGAAGTTTGGCGCCAACGGGCGCAGAGTTCGAAGCTGAGCCTTCCGGCAACAACCTGCGGAGGATTCATTCTTTAGCATGTCGAGGGTAGACTTTTGAATCATGTAGGTGCAGTTGGTTTATTGTTGGTGTACGTAATTATGCTACGGTAAGGTTTCTGTGTCGGAGTCGGAGTGTTTGGTATTCTGCTTGGAGCGCTGGTAACACCTTCAGTTTTCACTGCAGCATTGCTGCACTGAGGCCTTGAGCTGATTGATTTCTGTGCCCTGACCCACGCTCGACATGAGATCTCGATCTGGCATTGCTTTGAATTTGATCGGCGGTCTGATGTCGCTAGCAGCCTGCATTTTGGCCCTATTTGATTCATAGAAGTGGACGGCCAAAGAGCCGAGAATGCAAACTAGGACAACAACTTAATGCAACATGACAGTCAGTCAAGGCTTCAGTTTTTGGTGTTTGTTGCTGTAGAGAGGGTAGAGTAGGATGTGAGATTCTGCAGCCATGCTTGGCTTGGTATCATCGATAGTTCCCTTGCAGCAACCTGGCCACTTTGGAAGCCTCTCAGTGCTTTTAGGAAGTTGTGCTCAGACAATTAGCAACCGATGACCATAGCCAAACTGGGTTCGTTTAAAGAGTCAGTTCTTTGATCTGAGGCGGTTTGAAGAGTGCTGTGGCAGACGCCCAAAGGAAGCACCTGTAAAGGCCAGACATGCTTGCACCAGCGAAGCATGAGGATTGCTCATGCCAATTGGATAGGTGAAGTGTGCCTTCTGCAAGCGCTGCTTTAAAACGGATGCTGACCTGCAAGCGCATGTACAGAACAAGCATATGGAGGACACATGCTCGTTCAAAAACTTTGCTGTTCTGTAGGGTTGGTGCACTGACTCGAGAATGCCAACAGGAGCCATCTGCAGTGCGGGCACTAAATGCTGAGCTGGGCACAAGGCCACTTTTTTCTTGCCGAGCCGGGGTCCTTCCTCATTTACTCGTGCGAATGTTAGGCTGACAATAGTGGAAGAAGATGATTGGTTGGCAGTTGTTTTGCTCTCAGAGTTGAACCTCTTTGGCTGGCCGAGAGATCATCGAGAAATGTTCAGCTTTTCATTGAGTACTCAGGTAGTCAAGCCTCAGGGCTGCCCCACCTTTGGGAAAGGCGTGCGGGACCATGATCAGTCAATCCTTAGAAGTAAGGCAGATGGGCACTGGATTGTGGGTGTGAGGCAGCTTTGCCAAGTCCTGGTTGCTCCGGCAGCTTTCACCAAGCACTGCCACGGATGCCCTGGGCAAGGCCACCCATTTTGTAATGATTGCTTTAAGATACTTTATGCAATCGCATCCAAAAGAATTTTGTGCCCACTGTGCATGATCAGTGTGGGACATACAGTAGCACGTGGACAGGCACGCCCGGTGCATCGTTTGGATGCCGCCACCGGTGGCTTGTTGGTTTTGGCCAAGACCAAGACCTCACTGCGTGCTCTCACAGAGGCATTCGCAAAGGCCACGGTTTTGCAATCTCTTCTGGACAAATTGTAGTTTCTTGATTCTGGAACAACGTAGTTTACACGCTGTGCTATCGAGGCTATCGTGTCAATAGGAACTGTAAATTACTGCAAGAGTTCATCACTTCTTACCCCCTCAGGGTCTCGTGAAGAAAAGATATCGGGCCTTGGTGAGGGGCAACTACAATCTGGGATGCAAGGGGCAGTGCGATGAGCCGCTGCCACCAGGCATTCATATGGTCCATAGAGATTTGTGAGGTTGGCAGACTCAGAACATGCTATCAGTATTTATTATGGACTGAGTAGGGCATACGGTGTGTAATCCATTGTAATACTAAATTGTCCATGACCTCCGTGCCAAATGAAGCTGCCGTCGCATTGTCGGTCTAATTTATCGACAATGTTGATTGAAACAAATGGTTTGTTTGGCCGCTTGCCTGACTTGGCCCACTGCTGTGAAAGAGATAGCGACGCTAATAAACCAGAATGTACTCTGAGGTATGGGAAGGCATGCGTTACTCAGTTCGAAGCCGTTGAGGACCCTGTGCACACAGAAGATGGGATTGAGCATCGGCGACATGTTGGATCCATTTCAGACTAGTTGACTAGGGGCTCCTGGCCTTACTACTAGGAGCAAGCACGCTACTAGGGGTTCCTGGCCTTACTGCTAGGAGCAAGGACGCTACTAGGGGCTCCCGGGCTCCTGGCATCGCTATTAGGAGCAAGGACGCTACTAATTAGGGGCTCCTGGCCTTAATTGATTCGATTCAGTGTCCAAATTGGAAGAATGTGCCATCGACCCTTGCACTTGTGGTGGGTAGCCTTGATAGATTTGAATGGCTAATTTGGCCTAGGTAAGCACCCTGGATCTATGGCCACATTCGGGTCGCCGACACCAGCTCCGCCGACATATGGCAATGCTGGGCAGTCCTATTCTAGGTCCTTGGGTTTTGTATGCTTTGAATCTTTATGCCGTGGATCTGGAACGGCAGTGGTCAATGTTCTTAACTTGTAGGTGATCGTCGATATGGGGGCAGGCGCTGCGGAAGTGCAGCCGAGGCCGCCGAGGCCAGTGCCATTTTGCATCGCAAACATTCGCAACATGTATTGCAAGCAAAGGCCTAGCAGCAAGAACGCTACTATAGGGGCTCCTGGCATCGCTACTAGGAGCAAGAAGCTACTAGGGGCTCCTGGCATCGCAACTAGGAGCAAGGAAGCTACTAGGGGCTCCTGGCCTTCCTACTAGGAGCAAGAAGCTACTAGGGGCTCCTGGCATCGCTACTAGG